ATATGCTGACTCTCTGTAAACCGCTTAGAGAGGCCTGAAAGGCCTATGAAGCGGTATATAAGTCTACTGCTATTGCTATTGCTATTGCTATTAACCTGCTATTTTTCCATAAAGACTCCCATTCTCCTCCTTAGCCGGGAGGACTTCATCAAGCTTATGAAACATCTATTTACTGTATATTTTGGGTAATTTCTGAGTCTCTGAAACTGAAAATTTCTCTGAAGAAATTACCCTCTTTACTGTATTCATCCACTTTTCCTTGCTTAGGTTGACTTACAACAGTCTAAGTATGAATTGTATTCTTTCTACAGATTCCAAAGGAGACCCGTTAAATATTATTAGTTCTTCAGATGAATCCGGCAAGCATCTTCTAAAGATGGAATACGTTAAGGTTAAGCACTTCTTTAAAACTAAAAATTAGTGTGGGGTTTATTTTGTGTGGATGCTTAAAACAAAAATGACTGTATTTTACACAGAGAATCAAAGTGAAATAAAGCAAATTAATGCATGTTACAAAAAGCCGAATTGAATCCTCGTTGCTAGAAGTTTCTGCTAGAAGGCTGGATTGTTCCAGTTGCATGCAGGGGGGGGGGGGGCTCGCCTCTTATTCCTACCTGAGGAAGGCAACACATCTTCCTTTCCCCTTTTTCTTTCTTGGGAATTGAACTCTGCTCACTGGTCTCATTTCTAGGGGGAGGGGGAGCGTGGTGTGGGGCTTACTCTACTGAGAGCAGTTGGCAGAAATAGGTAGCTGTTGAACCCAGGGCCGCCCGCAGGATACAGTAAAAAGTGACAAGGGGATGAGGCAGCAGCGGTGGGATCGGACCAAGAGGAGCCTTGATTGCAATGCCAAGTCCCACACCTTGAACGTTTCAAGCGCACGTCCCCGCCTTAACATAGCAGTTTGCGTGAACATGCGTGTGCTTTGCTGCTGCTTCGCCATCTGCCGCAGACTGAAACTGTGTTTCTCGTTTAGGCCGATGTTGATGGTCCTCACTTTGACACCGTTTACAACAGAACAAAGCAGTTGCTGAATGTGAGTATTGTCAATAGGAGCATTGTCTTAGCTACCCAGGGGAGGGTGTCCTTTGGAGAATGAGTCCCCTTCGGGGGAAAAGGGCAGCATATAAATATAATAAATGAACGAATACTAGTTGAACTGAAAGAGCTCAGGTTCCAATTGGATTGTTAAGCCCAATAACTCACATTTATCCCATGGGGGGGCTGAGGGGCCTTTTTAAATGATAAAAACCTGTTTTCAGGTGAGAGGCCCCCTCCTTCATTTATCTCCTTTCTTTTTTTCTCCCCCCAGGTATCCTTTTCTTCGTTAGACTTAATTTTGCACACCGAAGCCTTGCTTTCTATCATGAATTTTTTCACATCTGCCTCAAGTGGTATCACGCCAGCTGAGAAGGGGGCTGATGTAGAGCGACCATCAGAAGACCCCAAAACAGCTGTTGCAAAATCAGGTATCGGAGGGTTGATATCTCTCTTTATAGAGCCAAGGTGGCACAGTGGTTAAATGCAGCACTGCAGGCTACTTCAGCTGACTGCAGTTCAG